ACTCCTCAACCACGCCTTGGACAACTTTTTCGCTAAGGAAAATGTTGTTTAAAATTACGTCAGGAACCTTCCATTTCAATATCTTACACTAGTTCTGGGCCACTCTGTATATGCAATTTAGGTAAACCAGTTTTTTCTTCTCACTTATTATTATTTCAATTTATTTATGATCGTCATCATTATTGGGTTTTACTTCAAGATTCTCTTAGAGATCTAATTTCTTCTTCACTATAATCAGAATTATTGCTTTCATTTCTAGTAATATTCTTCAGTTTTTATTTTCTGGTTTATGGTGAATGTCAGGCTCAGTTATTTTGTGATAAGGAAGAACAAAATTGAGGTACTGATGCAAATGGGTTAACGGCCGGCATACTAAAGCAAGTAATTAGGAAGGCAAATATAAGCGCAACTAAAAAATGTTCTATACATAGGTTTTAGACGTGAGGAACGTCGCTTCTTTAAAAGTATTCAATTCGTCTGACAACCGCGTAACTGTAAGAGTATTACTTTTTCTATGCAATTTCAATTTGAAATGAATATTGTCGATTATACGTATATAACTACATATTATTATATTACAGTAGACTCCCGTGTAACGCGAATTCTTATAACGCTACGAAAATGTTGTTACTGTTTTCGTATGGTACGATTCTTCGTGCAACGCGGCATAATAAAACAGAGGAATTATCTGATTTTAGAATTAAATCTGCTTCTGGTTGAGAAATGTTTTCTTCATCGTTGTTTGGGTTTAAAACATGATTTTCGATAATTCGGACATAATTAAGATTGTAAAACTATTTTCCAACTTAAGTATTGACGCTAGCGAAAAATTTTTTATACAAAAGTTGTTGGTATTAAAGTATTCTACAAGAATGGCTCTATGCATTTTTCTTCTAACTTCAATATTTAACGAGTTAAGTACGATTAATTGGCATTTTATGGATACTGATAAAATCCTCCACCATCGAATCAGCAAACTTTTGATAAAAAATTTCGTTATTCTTCAAATACTCCTAAACCGTTGGTCCTACGGGAAAATTTCATAGGACCTTTCTTATAGCTGACGATTAGAGCTACAACTTTTATCAGAAACATTTCTCCCTAGCATCGATATTTGGCCAGTTGTTGACCAAAAACGAAAAATCAGTTTTTTGCAAAATACTCGTTAATTATAGACGATGGAAAAAAATGTTTTAGACAAAAGTTGTAGCTCTCGTTATTAGCTACACAAAAGATTGTATGCAATTTTCCCGTAGGTCCGACGATTCAGGAGTTATTGGCAAAAAAAGGCAATTTCGCAAAATCTAAAAGGGTACCCCCTTGAAAAATATCGAAAAAAGAATTTTTCTCAAAATTTCGACAAATGCTTCAAATAAAAATTGTAGGTATGCTATTACCTACAAAAAAGGTCGTATACAATTTCCTTCTATCTCAAAAACTTCAGGAGTAATGAATTAATTATTTCGTTCATTACTAATTAAGCCATTTCTTTTTTTTTAAATTCTGTCTTATTTATAACATAAAACTTGGCACAACAATCATTGAAAACATGTTACTTTAGATTATGTACATTATATGAGAAAAATTTCCGACAGTGCGAATTGCTATAGCGCTTAGCGTAGAAACCGCGTTACGTGGGAGTCGACTGTATACACATATACACACGTGTCAAAGAGTTTGTTACCGAGAAATTACACGAACGAAGGGAAGAATCGGAGCTCAGCCTGGGGCGCAATGGAGATTCTTAAAACAGAAACCATCGAAATTAACCCGGAGCAATCAAAAGAAATCCAGATCGCTTCAACAGTTCGAGTCGTTCATCCTTTCAGTTCCTCTTCACTGCTTTTCTCCTCGTCGCTTGGCGCTCTCTAGGGTCCCAGGGGACAGTCCTGTGTTCCCCGGTGCGCGGGAGCGTTCCCGAGCGAGTTCGAAATCGTTGCCTAGAATCTACGTGGTAAGATCACGCTCAAAAAAAATTGTTATCGTAGCGAGTCGCGGTATACAAATGCTGTTTTAAATGTTACGGTACTGCGATAGACAATTCGTCGATTATGCAAGAGAAGTTGTATGTTAAATCTAACGGGAGATCGATCGTTCGATCGATGGGCGAGAAGGGAGTGGAGAACGTTAGAGGTGGACGACTAAAATACGAGAGAACACTAGGTCAATTAACGGAGATGCCTCTACGACGCCACGTCGATCTGCGCGCCCGTAGGACGACCCCTACGAAAACCACACTCGGTTTTCAACGCTCTTTTCAAACGCGCTTTCTTCCTCCTCTAAATGGTCGCGTGATCGGCACTCCATCCCCTCTCTCTTTCCTCTTTCTTCATTTCAATTATTGTACATTTTAATTTCATCCTAAATTATTCCATCCCATGTCGAATCCCAATATGTGTCCCAAAACTAGTGTAAGATATTGAAATGGGAGGTTCCTGACATAATTTTAAACAACATTTTCCTTAGCAGAAAAATTATCCGAGACGTGGTTGAGGAGTTATTAACAAAAAACCCTGACCAATCAGAACGCTCGGTTGGCGCGAGCTACGAATCGGGAGCGTTGGCTCGGATCTGGACGCCCGGCCTTTGACGCGTGAAAAACCACTCCGCTTAATACGAAGCGTTTTGCGAAAATGACGAATAATAAACTACATGAATAACAATGGAAGGAAATTAATAACAATTAATACATTTAATTGTTATTCAAGTGGAATAGATGGGGAAATGATAGATTGTTGATAAACCGGGCGTCCGGATCTGAGCCAACGCTCCCGATTCGTAGCTTGCGCTAATCGAACGCTCTGATTGGTCGGCGTTTTTTGTTAATAACTCCTCAACCACGCCTCGGATAACTTTTTCGCTAAGGAAAATGTTGTTTAAAATTGTGTCAGGAACCTCCCATTTCAATATCTAATATTAATTTTGGGATACCCTGTATAGAAAATCATTGATCCGACGATTTCGTTTACACTTGAGGTAATTTCTAAACTGCAACACGTTTGCGCCGTTGTTGCCGGACCGGGACGATTTGATCGGAATTTGTTTTCCAATTCGATTCCAGACCTGCTTTTGGACGTTCTCCATCGTGCACAGCCGAATTCCAATTAAAACGGTAATTAAACCTCCGGAGTTCTGCTCGCGGAAGCAATAAAAGAGGCGAGGTCTAATTGAATCGGAGTACAAGAAACTGGGATAGGGAGTGGAATAGATGGGGAAATGATAGATTGTTGATAAACCGGGCGTCCGGATCTGAGCCAACGCTCCCGATTCGTAGCTTGCGCTAATCGAACGCTCTGATTGGTCGGCGTTTTTTGTTAATAACTCCTCAACCACGCCTCGGATAACTTTTTCGCTAAGGAAAATGTTGTTTAAAATTGTGTCAGGAACCTCCCATTTCAATATCTAATATTAATTTTGGGATACCCTGTATAGAAAATCATTGATCCGACGATTTCGTTTACACTTGAGGTAATTTCTAAACTGCAACACGTTTGCGCCGTTGTTGCCGGACCGGGACGATTTGATCGGAATTTGTTTTCCAATTCGATTCCAGACCTGCTTTTGGACGTTCTCCATCGTGCACAGCCGAATTCCAATTAAAACGGTAATTAAACCTCCGGAGTTCTGCTCGCGGAAGCAATAAAAGAGGCGAGGTCTAATTGAATCGGAGTACAAGAAACTGGGATAGGGAGTAACTCGGTTAAAGAATCCTCAACGAGCCGTTGAAATTGAACTGTTGTTTTTTTTCTTTAAACGTTAACCTCACTTTTTGCGATTGAAATCAGTGTTTGCAAGAAATATAATACATCGCAGGTTTTTCACTCCGATCGATTTGCGATGGACGTTACTCTCTCCCTCTCTGTTTCTCGAGGTTTTAAAACGTTCTCAGAAGCAGGTGCGGTATTGAT